ACAAAATTGTCTCTCGAATGATTAGGTAGGAAGATTGATCTCTCAAAAAATGTAGAAGATGATCTTTTTGGTTTGTGGTAAAGCCAAAGATTGTTCTGAAAGAAATGGTGTGATGATGCATAACAACGATTAACATTGCAGGGATGCAAGGCAAGAAGGGTAAAGCTATGGGCGGCAATAGCTGCGGCGGGGCTAATCTCTGCGTATTCGTCTAAGAATTTACCGCAAAACCATGGGGAGAAATACGCCGTGGTGACGCTTTCGGACTGTCGTTCCATTCTTGAACCTTCTCTTACTCCCAATGACTTTGGTAAGCTCGAATCTCTTGCAATTACAGTGACAATTGATGCTCTATGTATACACGAGGTATATATGTTCTTAGATCTTCTCATGGTTGCAATGACTCAATGAGCCAGTTATATAGTATGGCTCAAGATTGTGAGTTAAAAAAACTCGTTAAACTAAGAATAAGAGTGGACAATACATTTTGATATGGATATTGTTGTATTGATCAGGAATACAATTCAAATTTAATACTTGTTTGGTTTGTTTTCAGGTTTCTACCACTCAGGTATCCTTCACACACACGACATAACCGGAGAGGAAAAGCTCTGGGACTTAGCCAAACGATGCTACGACTCGTTCACTTCAGCAAAGAACTCCAACAAGCAGTTTACAGACATGTCGGATCTCAATTTCTTAATGTGCAAAGCCATAGAGAATCCTAACCTCACACCTTCCTCGTCTCTAAGAACCGCATTCATCTCCATTTTCGAAGATCCCGTGATCGACGAGTATACAGAACCCGCATTGGCTTCAGTCGGGGTGCAAGATTACATCGGCTGCGCGTCTATCCACGGAGTTGGACCGTCGATCGCGGTTTTCGATTCGCTTAGAGATGGAAAACTGGACTGTGCGTTCGTGTATCCATCGCCGTTGCATTCGAGAGAGCAAATGGACGGTCTTATTCAACATATGAAATCTATTCTTTTGGAAGGATCTTCATCTTCCTTTTAATTTGTGTGTTTTTACAATTCAAACTCTCTCTCTCACGAACGTAGGCATAAAAATGGTCTCTATAAAAAAAAAAAAATAGTTGAAATAAATTTACTTCGATATTTTCCTCGTAAGTCTTTGATTCAACTCCGGTACGGTATGTAGTAGAAACCTGAACCGAAATAACCATCCGGTTTATTCAAGGAAACCTAAAATTGAGAAAGATTAGTAAAAATTGCACTATTATATTTTAGTGGAATTAGCAAATTTGGCGGATAATAATTCAAGGAAAACGATAAGAACCATAGGAACACAAACAAACTACAAACTATTTTTAGAGCATAAAGACTTTTCCACAAAACTCCAACCTTCTTGCCTCGTTTTCTAGCTATCTTCATTTTTGTTCTGTGTATTCTTAAACGCATATTCTTTTCAAGAAAAGGAGAAAAAATCAAACACAAAAGTTTGAAGTGTAAAAAATGGCAACAGATTCAACAACATTTCCAGAAGGCGACGCAGAAGCTGAACTAGATCTTAACCAAAACAAGAAGTTTGAAGTAGATCCTGTTTCATCAGAGATCGCTTCTGATAAGGTATTCTTTTTTAAAACACGTTTGATCTTAATTACCTTATAAAATAAAATAAATTGAAACACATAGTATGAGTAAAGATTCTTATGGATAGTTGATTTTGCATGAGTTTCAATTAAATCACCAATTATTATAATCTCTATCACTTTATGTGATCAC